GGATGCGATAGAATCCAATCTTCTTCTATTTAATGGGTCCTTTAATTGGGTTGATACGAACTGCCCCATCTCCAATTTTTCCCAGTTCAGCTCGTCATTTGTCCCGTTGAAAGCTCGTCAATGTCCCAGGGGGAGACAAAGGCAAAGCTGCTGAAATAGCATTCATGTCTTCTCCAGAGTATTCTTACTAGGAGTATCAGCGATTAGGTTTAGGGGGAGATCCATAACTACTCTTTGGAAAGTCTAAGAGTCCTGGTTTATTTTGGGAGTGTCCGTCCAGTTGTTTGTACTTCATCCAAGTATCAAATGTTCTTTGATTTTCGTTGCCTTTGAAGAAAATGATTCCTTGTTGTTTTTGGTTTATGTGTATTCTTTTAAGCATATTATTAGGACAGGCTGCACCAAATTGTTTGTTGAAGTGTGCAGTATACAGCAGCTATATATTGGGCCATTGACAAGCTTAGGGGGAGTATGTTGAGTCAAGCATATCAATGGCCTCAATCAAAGAAGGAAAATGCTGCAATCTTGTAAGTAAAGGAAAGAAAATCAAAGACAGCATAAAGGAGGAGAGATTCTGCAATCAGCAAGAACAATAAAGGAAAGAACTTCTCAATGGCTAGCTATGCTCAAAGATGCTGATTTGCTACCTAGCAAATCAACACAAAGAAGGAAGGTTCTAACGGCTGAAAAATTAGAGAAGAAATCAGATCAAGAAGATTGGATACAACAGTGCACAATGAGGCTCAAATGACCAACTCACTACAAATCAAATTAGAGGATTGAGTTCTCAATCAGATCAGCACAAATAGGGAAGGAATTTGAATGACTAACGGTCATATTCCTCCCTATAAAAGGCGACCTGAAGAACCACCAATGGTAACCTTTCAAGAGATCAACAAAGCTAGCTAAGACAAAAGGGGATTTTGTGAGAGTAGCAAGGTTGATAGGAAAGGGGGTTTTCTCAAAGGGTTCGGGGATAATTGCTTTGAGGGTTAGTGTTGGGGAAACACTGGTTTCGAGTTGCTGGGGAAGCAATTCGGGTTTGAGAAGAGAGTGTTTGATCAATCGGGTTGAGATTGATCAAAGTTTCTTGGGTAGATAGCTTGTATCGACGAACTTCAACGCAAAATCATAGTGAATCGTCGGAGATCACACTATCGTGATTCTCCGACCGTGGAGTAGTCAGTATTGGGATCCTCATTCTCCCAATACTGGAAACCACGTAAAAATCGCGTGCCTAGTTCATATTCTGTTTTCCATTTCCAGTCTGTGTGTCCCTCTGTGTGTTTTCAGTTTCAGGACTGGTTGAGCAAGAAAACTCGTTCCAAGAGTAGCAGGGAAGGCGTCGTCTCCAGACAGGGTTGAGGAATCAGTAAAGCTGGGTTTGTGTTTACAGAGTTCATTATTTTGTCTGGGTTCATTTTGCTGTGATATTACTGTTCTTTCTCTGTTCTTTATTCGATAGGGAGCAGGTCTCCTTTTGATCGAAATCTCAGGTGTGGGAAAGGCAGACTGAGTTGGAGTTAATACTCTGTTGTTTCTGTCTCATCACTTAGAAAAGTGGCCGGGTAGAGTTGGTAACAGAACCGGCTTTTGGGGTTGGATTTACTAAACTCACAACTTGCTTTTGGGCTCATAAGCCCATTCGGTTAAGGGCTAATATTCCAACAGAGGGTTTTCCAATTATTAGTACAAGTAAGGGAAGTACACTAATTAATTAGCTTGTACTAGTTGTGTTTCAAGGTCGTGGGATTTAGTTTTTATAATCAAAATCTTAGTTGAAAGAAACCGAAGGTTATTAGGTGGTCTAGGATATAAAGTTCTGTCACTCTCTTTAGATAACGTTTGATCTAAGTTTGTGGTCGAGAAAGTGACGTGCAGGTATAAAGTCTCGCGCTCGACGCAACCAACACCTAAAACCTCAGCTATACTGAAAGCATATGTGACAACCTTGTTTTAATTTTTTGTTACATTTGACCTATCTTGACGGCGATAAAATGACAACCCTTTGTGACAACAACTCTTGTCATAATATACCAAATATGACAAAAATGGTATCTAATATGACAAAATTGCCTCATCATAATAGGCTGAATCTGTTGTAGAATTGGTTTTAAGAGGGGAAGGAATGATGGGTACACGTTGGGGTTGGGTGGCCGACGCAGGGAAGGTGGGCTTTGGGGTTTGGGTCATTAGCTACTTAGCTTTTTATTATTAGATTAATAGTTCAATTAGTAGTTGAATAGTAAGAGGTCTCTTAGGAGGACGAGTCGGCTAGGGCTAGGGGTAGGATTTTGATTTTCAGTCTATATATATAGTAAGTTTGGAATTAGTCCGGGTTATTGAATAATAAACTAAACGTTCATCAACACCAACGTCGTTCTACCGCTTGTGGGTTACAAGCAAACCCTTAGAACGTGAGATACGTTTCCATCAGTCTGTAGCAAGGACTTATTTTCTTTTCTCAGTTAATCAAGACGAAGAACCTATCATCAATTATTACTTTTCTTTAGAAGTTGTTCCCTTTCCATTTTTTCATTTAAACTTACACTTGCACAAAGTTTTTCAAAAGAGAGGTCTAAAGGGATACTGGAATTAGTCTGTTTAAAGTTTTTTCTTTTTACAGTAAGTCTGTTTAAAGTTAATGTTGTTTAGTTGCTTGAGGTGAGCAATGTTGGAGTTCACAAGTTCTTTGAGCGTTCTTCTACTTTTGTGTAGTTTAACTACAACAGTGGGCAGCCTGCCCCAGGGTCGATCATAGACAAGATATATGGGAATACTCTTTAATTTCTGTAAGTATTGCTTATATGCTTCTAGCTTTCTCTCTTGGTTACTTACGTATCCACATCATGTTTCTTACTCTCCTAGTTGCTCTCTTTGCTGAATAATATTATCGTCTACCATCTACTCTACACATGCATGCCTCTGGTTCAATAGTGATACGCTACAACCCTGTCTATGGATTTCAAACTCTATTTAAGCATGTATTCACTTTTCTGGTTGAATAGTGGGAGCATAAGAGCAAGGTGGGGTGGAAAATGCATGCTTGTGGCCATGATGATCATGTTGCAATGTTGCTTGGTGAAGATGAGAAACACATATTCAGGTATCAGTCATATTTTATGGATCTCAAGGAGCTTCTGCATATGGAGCTTTTTGTATCGGATTTGAAATCGAAGAGATTCCGGAATTAGGGTAATTATTTGTTTCATTGATTCCTTTTGATCTCATTTGACCTTTTAGAGAAATAACCAAGGCAATCCTAAATCAGTTTATTTGTAAAAAGTCGGATCAACTAGGTCGGTTCCTCCTACTTCACTCACTGCCTCGCTAAGTGTGGATTTACTGCATGATTTGTCACCCTATTTCTTCTCCTTCTTAGTATACAACAGTACATTGATGTCTCTATATTTACACCAAAATAATTTTCATTCATTATTACATGTATGAACAGTTTGGCCACTTTAAATAATTGATTCATGTGTACATGGATGATCCAATTTATCAACTTGAGTCGTAGCTTTGGTGAATGGTAGTTCGGTATGAGGTAACCATCCAAGATGGTTAATGTACCAACTATGGACACCATCCAACCATATTATGGATGATACCGTCCCAAATATCTTGAATACCATCCCAACTTTATAATGAATTGTACCATCCCATTCATCATGAATGCCATCCAACCTATAAATGTATGGTAGTGCCCAACATAATGGACAACATCCAAACTCAAAGTGGATGGTGCCATCCAATAACATGGATACCATCCAACCTCAAAGGGATGATATCATCCCTTATCATGGACACTATTCCAACTATTAAATGGATGATGTCATCCATGTTATGGTATGGTGACCATTTAGTTTGGTTATCCTCCATGTACTGTTGTCTTGGTTAACATCGATACCATCCAAAAATTTTTTGTGTATGGTGACCATCTAATTGTTCATCCATGGTACGTAGGATTGATTGTCCAGTGACATGATTACGCGTCAAAGGTGGTTACTAGAAGCAACAACTGACTTGCAAAGGATGCTCGGAGAGGAGTTAGTGGATACTACATGGAGCTTTTGGGAAGAGATAGAAGGTGGTTAGAGGGTGAGGCACAACTAACCTGGCAACAATCTTCTAATGGAGGAACGGACAAAATTAAACCACAACAAGTCTCGTCAAATTTTATATTTCTCTCTGGAATCGTAGTGGGAGCAGTAGCACCAGGGACTCTCTACGAGGCTTCTCTATAGTCGTAGTTAGTAGTTGTGGAGCTCTGAAAGAATCTCCGTAGGAATAGAGGTAACTGTTAGTGGATCTTTGGTTATTAATTAGCTTTGCGTATATACAAATCTCCATTATTGAAAGTTTGATATGCACGATTTGACTTCAAGTACCATTTCATTAATTTGCTTTGGTAGGTGTTTGATTGCAAAGAAGTGGTCAAGATCAATATATGGACATCTCACAGCAACTTGAGTTATTGATATCAATTGGTTTTATGAAATGGCATCAAAGTCTAATTTATGTTTGAGGTCACGTGTTGAAATACTCACGATCTCCAATATTAATTGTTGTCTAAACCCAGATGGTCGGTATGATGGACTGGTGCAAATTTCAAACATATGAGTTGGTTGTTGAGAGGGTATATAAAGAAGTGATTAAGATCTATGCACGTACTTTTTCGGACCATTCGAGTTATTATGACCAACTATTAAAAGTATTTAATAAATATATAACAAAAGGATATTTTAGAATTTTACGTATTTATTAAAAGTAAAACAAAACAGCAGATACGCCACAAAATGATGATTTGGGTTGGCCGGTTTGGGCTGGTAAGCGCTCAAGTCGATCATGATCCAGGCGGGCAAAACACAGTATATATATAGTACTTAAGATAAGCTGCCCCAATTACACTACCAGAATATCAGCTGGTAGTTATGAAGCTCTTTTTGACTTCATCATATATAAGCACTACCAGAATCTCAGCTGGTAGTCATGATGTATTAAGCACAGAGGAAGCCGTCGGGAGCGACCCTGTTGCATTCGCCGAGAAGCAACTTGACGGAGGCGGCAAGGTCGACATAGATCGCTCCAAGAAGGTTGGCTTTTAGGGCAGCACAAGCACAAGCGGCGGCGTCAACATCAGCCGCCACCCCATCAAACAGACTACAGCACGTGTCGCTTGGTGGCTTCGTTCCGACCCTGAGCTTCAAATACTGGAACAGGTCAACGCAAACGCTCAGCTCGCCCACCTTATCGGCGGAGCATGTCCCCGCCAACGTGGCGGTGGCCGACGAGGCGAGAAGGACAAGGTTAAGGGCGAGGAAGAGATCCGCAAGAGTTGCTGTTTTGGAAGAGGATGCCATTTATTTAATTTGCTGTGTTGGGTTACTTAATTAGGAGAAGTGAGGGTTTAGGTTTGGATTGGATTGAAGGGGAACTGAAACGGGGTTTATATAGATGGAGGCAATAGCATGCATGAAAGCGTGGGGCCAGCCTAGCTACCTTTTTTCAAAGTCCAACGTTAGTGAATGTATTCGTGGAGGAGTGCTTTGAGATTTGCTTTTGCTGTCTGCCTTTACACAAACACTCACGAGTCACGATGACTCTAGCTTGTTTCCCCCCTTCTTTTAGGGTGCCCGTCGACCACGTGAATTTTTTTTGTGCTAGGGCGGCCTGAGGTTCTATATTTTATATATAATTGTGTGGCTGAGAGAGATTCAGTTATGACCAGATATCGTTTACTAAAAAACCTCTCAAACAAAAGTTATCATGTATGACCTTAAAATTTGTACAGATCGAATACCATGTGCTTAACAAGTGGGATTGTCGATATTCGAATATGAGACATCTAAGTCACAGAAGGCTCTGATACCATATCAATAATTAATTGGTCTCAATATAAGCCATCTAAGTCACAGAATGCTCTGATACCATATCAATAATTAATTGGTCCCAATAACTCGAAATATTAAAATTATGATAGTATAATTATTTATTATATATCACTTCCAAAGCGTAGAGGATCCATCTGACAGGGGAAATTCCCATGATTGGAGATTAGTGTCAAACTCCAAATCACTATAGCCACGTCCAAAGTAGTAGAGAGTTGCTTTCTCACTTGCTCCGGATATGAATTGATGTAAATAGAACGAGCAGAAACAAATATAATACCAAATTTACAACTGACACTCTATGTCGAGCTTTCCTTTCCTTCGAAATGTAATCTTAATTAGTACTTGCTTGTAGTTTTGAAATTCTACAGAACCTCCATAGAAGTAACCATAATCGTAGTTTACGGGGAAAATTCCCATAAAAGTAAAAGCAATTTGATTTAGAGGTTATTTGGATGGATCAATTTAGAAATGAGACAGTTTTTTATTAATTGTCTCATTTTATAAACGAGACAATTAAAATGAGTCAATTCGAATTACCTGTCACACTCAAAACAATTGAAATTGACTAAAAACGACTCAATTCAAAATATCTCAGACAAATTGATCCATCCAAATATTTTGCTGGCAAATTAAACGAGTCAATTTAGTACAATTATCTCAAATCAAGACAAATGTATTAAATTAATTCGTTACAATTTCTCATACAAATAACCACTTAGATTTCATTCACATCAAATATCTTTATTGTTCAAACTTTATTTGAAAATATGTGAATCATATCTAAAAAATGTTGTCCAAGTTCTCCAACGGAAACATATATCCCCAGGAGTACATGATTTCTTGTGCTTCCCTGTAGAGTATCCACGTCTCGTAATAAATTGCGCGATTCAATGTGCTACTCCGTTAGGTATTTATAGCTCCGTTCAGATTACGCTGTTAATAGTTTAATTAATTAATGATGGCCCATTTGAACTTCAACACTTACATATAAGCCGTCTGCAGATTGATAAAAAGAAAATATGCCTAATCAGCTAAATACAAAAATAAAAGTAGTTCTTCGTACACATGATTTGAGTCGTAAGAGTCAGAGATACATTATCAGATTTACGATTATCCTTTTCTTTGTGTACTTTAATCAAAGCCAACTGATACCTTCAAGTTTATACTAACCTATTTTATTTGGTATTCAAATCGACTGGACTATTGGTCCAGGGTCCGGATCCTATCAGTAACCGACCTATCAGTAACGGTCAGTAACCGATGATCCGGCCGTCCATCGCGCCATCTTCCCAGCCGTCAGATCAGGCCACTTAAAATACACGCAGGGGCAAAAACGTAATCTCGTCTCTGACAATTTGAATTGCAGACGTGACAGCGACAACCGTCCCGCCTTCTCTCCTTCTTCCTGTCACCTTTCAAGCGACAGTTCCACTTCCCTCTCTGCTCTCTAACTCTCCATTCTTCCTCTCGATTCTCAATTCTCTCACCAAAATCGCAGCAAAAACTTCCAGAAAAAACTTCAAATCGAACGATTTTCGCAAAGGATTTCGAAGAATCATTCAACGATACACTGTTCTCGCTTCTTCGTCGAAAAACGAAGAGTTTCCAACTTCAACGAGGCTCAAAAATCGTTTTCGCACAAAATATCAAGGTAAAACCTCACTTCTTTCTTCGAAAATCCATCCACAGAACAATAGAACAGTATCGCAGTCACTCTCCATGCGTTGCTGAACTGATGTAGAATCTGTTGTGTTTTGCTTCATTACCATATGGTAATTAGTGGTAAATTAAGATTGCATGTTCTAAAATAGCGAAAAACCATAAGTCCTGCTGTGTTTTGTTCGTTACCATATGGTAATGTGTGGTAAGTTATGATTGCATGTTGTAAAATAGCAAAAAACCATAAGTCCTGCTGTCATTTAGTTTGTTACCATATGGTAATGTGTGGTAACCTATGGTTTCATGTTGTAAAATAGCAAAAAACCATAAGTCCTGCTGTGTTTTGCTTCTTTACCATATGGTAATGAGTGGTAAACTATGGTTTCATGTTGTAAAATAGCAAAAAACCATAAGTCCTGCTGTGTTTTGGTTCGTTACCATATGGTAATGAGTGGTAAACTATGGTTTCATGTTGTAAAATAGCAAAAAACCATAAGTCCTGCTGTGTTTTGGTTCGTTACCATATGGTAATGAGTGGTAAACTATGGTTTCATGTTGTAAAATAGCAAAAAACCATAAGTCCTGCTGTGTTTTGCTTCGTTACCATATGGTAATGAGTGGTAAACTATGGTTTCATGTTGTAAAATAGCAAAAAACCATAAGTCCTGCTGTGTTTTGGTTCGTTACCATATGGTAATGAGTGGTAAACTATGGTTTCATGTTGTAAAATAGCAAAAAACCATAAGTCCTGCTGTGTTTTGCTTCTTTACCATATGGTAATGTGTGGTAAACTATGGTTTCATGCTGTAAAAATGGAGGAAAACATACATCCTGTTGTGTTTTACTTCGTTACCATATGGTAATATATTATAAGACATGGTTTGATGTAATTACCATATGGTAAAATGAGATAAATATATGGTTTGATTTGGTATGGTATGAAACCATTATGGTACCATATGGTATATCATGATAAAAAGCACGCTAACAGACTATTCCTAATTTCTACATTCAGGTACACTATGGTAAACCAAAGAAAAAATTTTCGCACAAGGTGCAGCCCAACAAGAATATCTGCAATTACAAGGACTATAAAAGATGACCAGAAAGAGAAACTTGAGACATTAGGCCTAGCAGGCTTAATGTCAATCAAGCAGACAAAGATAAACACCCATTTTGCACTGTTCGTAATGAACAAATACAATCCAATGAAACAATCTTTCAAGCTACCTGACGGGACACGCATGAAGATATCACCAATTGACTTTCATAGGGTATATGGTCTGCCAATGGGGAATAGGGAAGTTGTACCTCCCACGATTTCTTGGGACGATGCAGCAGATTATGCAGTAGAAACCCTACTGGAAGTAGATGGAGCATCCACTCCAAGGGTAAAGCTAAGTCAGGTAGAAAAAGATCTTTCTACAGTTACCAACAGTAAGAGATGGTTACAATTGTTCTTTCTGCTGGTCACCGGAGGCTTGCTGTGCCCAACTTCAGCCCCTATGGCTGAACTCAACATGCTTGAGTACTTGAAGACTGATGAACAGAAACATTTCACCAGCTACAACTGGTGCAAATACTTCTTCAACCACATGAATGAAGGATTGAAATCACCAAAGTTCTACGTCAATGCAGATCTTCACTTCCTTACAGTAAGTCTCCATTCCCTTGGCCATTTCAACCTTGTTACTCATATATTTTATATATAAATGATACTCTTTGAAAAAACTAATACAACTATCTGCATAAAAAGGTATGCTTCATGTACAAACTGGACGAAATGGCATTCTCAACCCAGCTTCGAACACCAACAGTAAGCTACTATGATGATAACAATGTTGATAGCAACTTTGAGAACATTAAGAGCTACTACAATGGAAAACAGTTGAACGAGATCGAAAAGATTACCAACATTAGAGACGATGAGGCTGATGATGAGGCTGATGACGCAGCTGATGTCGCAGCTGATGAGGAAGAGGAGAATGAGCCAGTCTATGAATCACCGAAAAGACAAAGAAACAAAAGTCCCGAGCAGTCATCATCACTGAACTTTGATTTGAAGAAAATCAGAACAGTCAACCAAGTAAGTACAAATTATCTATATACCAGTTGTCCAATACATGCTAAGCGTAAGTCCTGTGTTTTACTTTGTTACCATATGGTAAAGTGTGGTAAGCTATGGTTCCATGTTATAAAAATGGAGCAAAACATAAGTCCTGTTGTGGTTTACTTCGTTACCATATGGTAATGTGTGGTAAGCAATGGTTTCATGTTATAAAAATAGAGGAAACCATAATTCTTGTTCTGTCTTACTTTGTTACCATATGGTAATGTGTGGTAAGCTATGCTTTCATGTTTTAAAAATACAAAAAAGAACAAGTCCTTCTGTGTTTTAGTTTGTTACCATATGGTAAAGTGTGGTAATCTACGGTTTCACGTTATAAAAATGGAGGAAAACATAAGTCCTGTTGTGTTTTAATACGTTACCATATGGTAATGTGTGGTAAGCAATGAATTCATGTTATAAAAATGGAGGAAACCATAATTCTTGTTCTGTTTTACTTTGTTACCATATGGTAAGGTGTGGTAAGATATAGTTTCATGTTATAAAAATGCAGAATAGTGATAATAATTGCCAATACCATGTATTACCACCATGGTAACTAACCATACTCCCATTATGCAGGCTGAGAATGCAATCAAACTGGTTGAAGCATCAATGAAGGCAATGATGAAAGCAATCAAAGAGCAGTACAACAGCCAACTAGACAAGCTGATCAAACACAAAAAGAATCTTCAGAAAGAAA